GCTTAAAATATTGAAAGCAAAAAAAAAAAATTTGACGGGGGTGTTTTGAGATATTGGGCCCTAAAGTTAGATTATATAAACTAGTTGATTTATTAATTTTTAAGGATGTTCCTCTAACATTTCAGCATTTTAAGTACATTTATTGAATTCAGCATTAAAAAACCATTATAAATGTATATTTTTATATTTTTGCCATTTTTATTTCTTATTTTATTGAGGAAAACAACTTTTCAGAATGTTATGAAAACCGGGTCATTTTGAGAAACCAGGTCCAAATTAAATTTGCTGTATCTTGTCAACCGCTTAACATTTTTAGCTGAAATTTTGCATGCAATATTTTTTTATAAATAGGAATCATGTGTCAAAATATAAAACAAAAAGAAAACACATGGTTCAATGGAGTGGGTGATTTGATGTGGAATTACCCGTGTGGAGCGAATCTTCAGCACAGTAACTAGCATATTGTCAGATCAACGTTTATCTATGAATCATGACACTCTAAGTGATAGCATTATGATATTAGGAAACCTTGGAAGCTGGTCAAAGGAAGAAATAATCCTGATTAAAATACGAGCAAAAGAAATTTATTTGAATAAGAGACGAGTGGTTCAAGTTGATGATAATCAAGTTGACTAGAGGACACCAGCAACAACATTGATTACAAATCAAATTTTTGATGAAGATGATGAAATAGACAGTGCTGATGAAGATATGAGTGACGAATTAGCTGCATTCAGTTTCGAAAATGTAGAAGAGGAAACACCGTTGACAACAGTTAAGGGGAAAATCTGTTATTTAACCTATAATGAATAGTTTAAAAAAAAAAAGATTTTCAAACTTTCTTGTGTTATTTTTTTAATATAATTTAAAAAAGAAATTTTAGAAATAAATTAATTTGAATAAAAATATCAAGAAATATAAAAACTATTTTTAAATACATATATCAAAACAACAAAACAAAAAAAGGCACTAAATTATAAAAAAGTCACTAAATTATACTTCAATACTAAATCAACAAGAAGTTGCGTTTTTGTTTGATTTTTTTTTTTTATAACAAATAGTTAAAAAAAACCCCGATCTGACAATATACAAGAGTGTTATTTCATGAGTGTGATACTAATTATAACATTTGTCGACAAAAGAATGTAACAAATAAAAAAAGATCTTCTTCAGCAATTTTCATGATCGCGCTCGTCGACGTTTTCTCGAGCGCACATAATCACGCTCGATGAAAACATATTTTAATTTTACGAGCGCGATAACACGCTTGACGATTTTATTCGTCACAAGCCCTGTATATATATATAAAATAGTACTGCATAAAATATATAAAAAACAGTATTATATATAAATAAAAGTGCTATGTAAAAATAAATAAAATGATAGTGCTAGTTATAAAATAATAGTGCTATAGAAATAAAAGTGTTTGTTAATAATGTTGTTATGTAGGGTTAATAATGTTAATATGTAATGTTATTTAATATGTAATTTAAACATTACATATTAAATAACATTACATTAAACAGAGTTTAAAAAACGCAAGAAGACAAAATATTTTTGTGATTATATTATTGGTATTAACAATGTGAAGCTAATTATGCATTTTATGCATTAATGCCAGATAAACAATTTTGATTTTATAGGTATCAAAATATAGTAGGTAGATTTTAAGAAACACAGATTTTAGGAACTAAATTTGTTAGTTCAGATGTCAGGCCTTGTTTTAAAGCGTTACGCCTAGAGTGATTTACGTACGCCTTAAGCGATTTTTGCGTACGCGTAGAGCTGTTTTGGTTAAGCTACTTTTTATCATTTTTTAACTTTTAAATTAGCAGTAACATAAAAGAAGTAATTAATTTTTAAAAAAACCACATTAACTTTTGAATAACGATAGGTAAAAATAATTAGAAAAAAAAAATTACGTTAAAAATAATTGAAGTAACTTTTTATCGCGACATATCATACGTTTTTATAACATTTAATTTTACGCCTAACTTTTTATCCAAATATTTAGCAACATGAAAAATTGTTTGTCAATCCTTAACTACAAATTTTTTGCAATGTTTTTAATAAAAAGTAGTAACTTTTTAAAGCTTTTAGTAAAAAACATTTAAAAAATCTATATTTCAAACTTTTTAATACAGAATATAAATGTTTTTTGTAATATAAATTTTTAAAGAGTTTTTTACTAAATTCATATTAGAAAACATTTGCAAAAAATTGGTTGACGTTTTTTTAATATATCAAAAAACGTCTTAATATTTTTGTTATCATGATAACAAAAATATCAAGACATTTTTTCAAGATATTTAAAAAAATGTGCTAATGAATGAACAATCTATTTGTATTTTTCTAAAAATTACTTCATTAATTATTACTCTTTGCTTTTCTTATTAGTTAAAGGTATATAGATACCTTTGCTTTTAAGTTAAGCGGGGGGAGGGGGCCAGCACAGAAAAAAAAAAATTACCTGTTACTCGCAATTTTTGAATGAAGACAATTTGTTAAATTTCTTCTGCGTGCGATTCAATAAATTTTTTTCATAGATCAAGTTATATTATAAGGTAAAGAAATCACGAGTAGACTATAACATCCGCTGATGACACTAATATTACGTTGAATATATTTATATAATGGAGGTTTCATTATGCACGCGCACATTACAGATTCCGTTAAATAAATACTAAGGCACGTTTTAGTTTAACGACAGTCTCTATTTTTTATTAATGAATATGTATTTTTCTTTATAAAACAAGACAAACTAGTATATAAAAACCTTTTATATTTCTATTCTCTCTAAATTGTTCAAAGTTCGAATATGGATTGTACTTTGAAGGACAAAAAATTTCCTTTAAAAACTTTTAAATCTTGGGACTTTGCCAATGCTTTGCCGATGCGATGATCACAGAAAAAGAGAAGACTTACGTTATTAAAATCAAATGTAAGTTATGTGATCTTCATCAAAATAAAATATAATCCTAAAACAATTGTGCCGTTAGGGCAGCTGCCCTACGGTTTATAAATAACACAAGTCATGTTAAAATATTTTACCATGTTACTATATTTAATTTAAGTTGATATATAAATAAAAATTAAAATATAGTTTAATAAATAAATTAAATTTGTTCTTAACAAAGATTACCTCATATTTATTCTTTTTTTATTTTATTAAGTTAAATTGCTTACAAATGAAGAAAAAAAAGAGTTTTTTTTTTTTTTGTAATTATACGTAGAATGAAAACACTTTTGAGTTTGTTTATAAGTTAAGGAACTTAATTTTTAATAAACAAATTTTTACGAACGTTTATTATAAACAGATACGATTGAAATTATTAAATATACTTATATTATTTTAGTTGAGTATTTTTTTAAGTTTGCACGACTAAAGTTTTGCGGAGAAGTATTTGTTTTTTTGTTTTAAAAATAATTAACAAAAGAGTTTGCATAATTAAGACTTTTATATTAAATTTTTTTTTTAATTTCCTAACTTTTTAAAAAAAAGATTTAATCGTTAAAAACGATTTTTCTCTATAGCTCTGTTTCTTTGTGACTTGTTGAAAATGTAAAACATTTTTACAATAACATAAAAAATTTATGAATTAAATTCCTGGCGAACGCATTCTAAACTATGTATCAAAAATATGCTAAAAGCAGACAAAACGTTTTTATATTTTTATATAACGCAAGTTGAAACGCTAAGCAAGATAAATTTAAAAAAATATTCTTTCCTAAATTATTCTTTGCTAGTCAAAACAAAATCGCTGTTTAAATAATTAACATAGGTTTTTGTTTATCAATGTTAATATTTTTTGTTTACTCCAGAAATTTTTAAAAATAAAAAAAAATCACTATTTTTTATTCAATAACGATTTATAAACAATAATTATTCAAAAACTATTTTCGAAATAATTAAAATATATATATATATTTTTTTTACTAAATAATATTGAACTAAAATTAATAATAAGATAACAAACTTTTTATTATAAATTTACATTTAAAACGTTTATAGTTATTTGAGTTAATTGTTAAATTGAACTAGTTAGCGGTTATTTATTTATTGCGGTAGTTAAAACACTTAACGTCTATAAAAAAAAATAAAGATAATTTTATGACGTCAAATATCGCGTTAAGCCAATGCGTTAAGCACTTTTTTTATTTAAAACAAGGCCTGAGATGTCATATATTTTCAAGCTTAAGAATCTGTGACAGTGATTTTGGTAGACTCTGTAAAGGTAGAGTAAACTCTATTATATGACTCAGGAAGGAGAAACAATTTCAAAAAAGTATTTTTCTAATAGAATTTTTCAAGAACTAACAACATGGAAAACATACACGTTGTTAGCTCTTGGCATTTTTCTCAGCTTTCTGTATATTGATCCTCCCAACAGTGAATCACAGTCGACTGCAGCAACTGTTACAATTGATATTTGGGTAATTCTGATACAGCTAGAGGTTAAAGATCTAGATACAGATCTTCATATTGACATTAATCAGCTCTTCTGATCTATATCAGATTTTAGGACCCCTCTCACTTCCTATTTTTGTTACGCTATACACAATTTTACTACTCCATAATGTAAATCAGAAGTAGTCATTTTGCTTTATCACAAATTTTTTACGTATTTAATTAACTACTTTTAGTTAAAAATATAGAACACAATCATAGATAGATTTTATAAATTAATAATAAAATGTTATTAAACAAAAAATTTCTTCAAAAAAAATCATTAGAACTTTAAAATGTCATTAAAACTTTATGTGAAATTTAATTAAGAAAAAAAAAATTTCTATTTGTGAAAAATTAATCAAAACGCTCCTCCTCTTTTTACATATTGAATCAGTTGGCAAATGATAAGAAAACCATTTTTTATTTTTTTAAAGTTAAATTTTAATATTTAAATTTTTCTTTGTTTTTATTAAAAAACCTTTCCTTATATATATTTATAAATTTTAGTACAAATATTTTGAAAAAAATAAAAAATAAAAATAAAACATACTTTATTTGTAGAAACGTCAAGACCTTGTATATGTAACCGAGTGCTTTCATTTTTAATCAATTCAGTTGTATTTTTTGAGAGACCAGTGTTTTTGGAGAATTCTGTTGATGAGTCACCAGAAAGAGTCGTATTCTTACTAAAAAAGAAAAATATATATACATATATGCTTATAATATATAAACACACAAAAAGATGTCATAGTTAAAGAATGTTAATTTCTTGTATTCATGAAAATTTCTTGATTTCTTGTGGAATTATTTGTGAATTCAACTATTGGAAAAACTTTTGTATTAACTTGATATTAAATTTGATAATAAATTCTTATTACAGTTTAGCTAGAATAACTTATTCTGAAATATTTATGCACATAAAAACCATTGTAAGGATTAACTTTCCTTTAAATTAAAGTCTTTAAATAATAAATGCATCAACAGCAAATGTTTTGAGAATATGCATTTAAAACATTTAGTCGAATATTATTTGCTAAGAAAGAAAGGCTTTTAATGACAAAATATTTGTTTTCAGTAAACTCTTGTTCAACAGTAGTCTGATCATGAAATGGAACTCAAACAACTCAGTTGTATCTCATTGTCATTCTCAACAAACCAATCGGACTAACAGCTAGGATTTGAACTTATGAGTTTTCTGAGAAATGAGTCCAATCGATCTTGAATTAATCGAATTGAATTAATATTCAATGTATTTTGTAATTCAACGTATTTTGTGTTTAAAAACAAAGACAAAAATTGTTGACAAAAATTTGAAATATACTCAACTTGGCTTTTATTGTAATTTCAGATGTCAGTTTTTTATATCAAATAGGATGACAAGCACTTATTCTTCTAAATTTAGCAAAAATAATTTAAGATACACATGACATAAGATTTATTTATGTCATGTGTATCTTAAATTATTTATAAGTAATTTATGAATCTTAAATTATTCATAAATAAGACAAATAAGTTTTAAACTAAGGCTTGTCCATAAACTATTTCACACAACTTTTGACAATTTTTGATTATTTTAATATGATATTTTAGATTTTCTTAACTACTTTAGTTAAATAAATGATACATTTCAATAAATTTTATTATTATTTAATACTACTTTGAGTCACTAATTGTACAACAATTAAAGCTCATTATTTGTACAAATAATGAGCCCAAAAAAATTTATTACAATAAAATTTATTACAATTAAATATACTGAAAAAATCAAGACTCAAAAAAAACTTAATCACTTGTGGGGTACCTCAAGGTTCTATTTTATTACTATTTTAAATTTATATAAATGACTTATTTATCATCAAAAAAAGTTAAATACTGTTTTATTTGCAGGTGACTCTAATTTTTTTATTCTCACAAAGATATTAATATTCTTTTTTAAAATTATGAGATATTAATATTCTTTTATGAATAAAATCAAAAAAATTTTAAATATTTAATTTTTTTAAAACAATATTATATTTGTGTAGAGCTGCAGATAATTAAGAATATATTAATTGAGGATTGGAGAACAAGGATGTGGATTCAAATCCTCTTAAGGGAACAAGTTTTTTAGACTTGTTCCCTTGAAAGGAGCAAGTCTAAAAAACTTGTTTTTCTCACTTTATCAATAATAATAATAATAAAAAAAAAGATTTTCTAGAATTAAAATTCATTTAAAAAAAGAGTTTCCCCCCTTCCTGATATAATTTTTGACAACCTTAAATGCTAAAAAAAACTTTTTAAGAAACATCCACCTTACCCATGGTTTGTTATTATCTAAGCTTTGATTTAATTATTTAATATATCAAAACTCTAACCAACTTTAAAGAACAGTACTTTTAATTTAATTAACAAGAAATTTCCTCTACCGAGGACATTTTCATGAATTAAAGATTGCTATGTAAAAGGTCTTATGGAACTTGTTTAAATAAACTTAAATTTTTTGCAACTTTCTCCAGCTCTTACATCTCCACACAATTGATCTGTATAAAAAACTGGTACAGTGATCGGCCATTACATTAGGACCACACATTTCTTTTACAATTTATTTCAAATATATTGCTTAAACCAGCATATGAGAAAATAAATAAGATTTTTTTTCTGTTCCATGTCAAGTTATTTCTATTGTTGGTAATATTTAATAAAAATTTTATCAATTGGCAACTCTGGCTGTCAGCAATCACCTGTCATAGTCAAATTGGTGCATATTGGACAATTTAAGGTTATTTTCAGTTGTTAGTTTGATTGAAGTTTAAATGTGATTTATTTAATTTCAAGCTTCTGTGCTTTATTTAATTTTTTTTTTTTGAACTTATTAATAATCAGTAAGTCATTAATTTTAAATAAAGGGTTTTTTTTTCTGTTTATGTAAAGACACTAAAGTGTAGTCATTTTTTAAAGATCTTAATTTAAATTTTCAGCTAAGGGTAAAAAATGTGATATGATACCAACAAAAGTTAGTCAAATTAGATGTCTTTTACAAAATACAAAATATTATCAGCAAAAAGTTGCACAAATTGTAAAGGTTTCTCACCAGTGAGAAAAAAAATTGATACAGGGGAAGAGTTTGGTCCAAGGAGACCAAGAGCGGATTGTATTATCCGGAATATATGCCTGGAAAACAGAAAAAAGCCACAAAATGTATTGACT